AGCCGAATATCAAGCCTTCGAGTAAATCGTAGGAAAGACGAACGTGATAGCAGTATTTCCATCCAACACTTTCATGAACTGTGTACACAAATACCGTCGCCATGGGCTCAGGATACACAGACACAATATGGTGAGTCCGAGGCTTCGATTGGGGTACCGGCCAGTGTGGCAGGTGTCCCAGGCAGAGGGCGTGTCCCATTATTCGTCTTGCAAATTGTGTGGTCTTCCCAATGCCAACACGCTACACCATCAGTCTTGAGTGCGCCATAGTGAAGGATTTGCTACCCCAGGGACAAGACCTCATTTATGTTTGTAAATACTTACTGCAAGGTGATACCATTTTGGTGGATATAGCCATGTTGTGATTTGTTTATTTGTGTGTGTGTGTGTGTGTGTGTGCGTGCGTGCGTGCGTGCGCGTGCTTGCGCACGCGAATGTGAAAGTATGCATATTCATATAAATGTGTATATATAGTTCACAACGTGCCCTGCATGACATTGGTTATGGGCCTTTTGTATTTTTCTGTAAAATTGTCTCGTCACCGTCACTGGACATAAATTTATCAAATCAAATCAGATTCTCTCTCTCCCTCTCCCGTTCCCCCTCTCCCTCTCTCCTCCCCCTCCCCCTCCCCTTCTCCCTCTCTCTTTCCCTCTCCCTCTCCCTCTCCCTCTCCCTCTCCCTCCCCCTCCCCCTCCCCCTCCCCCTCCCCCTCCCCCCTCTTCCTCTCTCCTCACACTCCCCCTTTCCCTCTCTCCTCCCTCTCCCTCTCCCCTTCCCTCTCCCTCTCCCTCTCCCCTTCCCCCTCCCTCTCACTCCCCCTCCCCTTCTCCTCTCCCTAACAAAATAAGAAAGAGATAAAAAAAAAGCGCATAACCGCACCCCACAACAGCGGAAACTGCCCGGCCTTTCACACACACTATACTCAATAACAAAACTTTTTTTTCGTTTTCCTTTTAGCTGTGGACTTTCGACAGATCATCTTGTGGCAGTTCCTCCGTGTATTGCAGTGGATGCCGTAGTTATGATGACTTCTGCAACAGAGATCAATGCCGGAGAAATATCGATGACAAAATCTGTCAGGTGAGATTTTCATGCCTCGTCTTGGTTGAAAATAAGCAACGTGTGTTTGTTTGTTCCACGTTATAAATGCGTTTGTACGTTTACATATACTGTCCCCCTCACCCCCCCCCAAAAAAAAAAAAAATAAAAAAAAAAATAAATAAAATAAATAAAAGTTAAAGAGTAGTATCTACATTTTTTGCTCAAATTGAGTTATTATACGCAAATGACGTAAATATAGTTGCTCTACCTTTAGTTAAAAAAAAAAAAAATCGTAAATAATTATATTGAGTTTGTATCCCATATCACTCTCCTTATGGCGATTTTATCTGTATCGCTAAGAAGCCTGATAATAAATGTCCTTTCTCTAAATGTTTTTTTTCTTTCTTTTTTTTTTTAGCAGCATAGAGTAATTTATGTTAATATCCCGATCTTTGAACTTTTTTTTTTTTTTTGCTAGGCCATTATTACATACATGCCATATCCGTTGACGTCATCATCATCAATCTCCGTCTCAGTCACATTCTCAATCCTGTCAGTCACATTCTCAATCATGTCAGTCACATGCTCAATCCTGTCAGTCACATGCTCAATCATGTCAGTCACATTCTCAATCATGTCAGTCACATTCTCAATCATGTCAGTCACATTCTCAATCATGTCAGTCACATTCTCAATCCTGTCAGTCACATTCTCAATCATGTCAGTCACATGCTCAATCATGTCAGTCACATGCTCAATCATGTCAGTCACATTCTCAATCATGTCAGTCACATTCTCAATCATGTCAGTCACATTCTCAATCATGTCAGTCACATTCTCAATCATGTCAGTCACATGCTCAATCCTGTCAGTCACATTCTCAATCCTGTCAGTCACATTCTCAATCCTGTCAGTCACATTCTCAATCATGTCAGTCACATTCTCAATCATGTCAGTCACATGCTCAATCATGTCAGTCACATGCTCAATCCTGTCAGTCACATTCTCAATCCTGTCAGTCACATTCTCAATCCTGTCAGTCACATTCTCAATCCTGTCAGTCACATTCTCAATCCTGTCAGTCACATGCTCAATCCTGTCAGTCACATTCTCAATCCTGTCAGTCACATGCTCAATCCTGTCAGTCACATGCTCAATCCTGTCAGTCACATGCTCAATCCTGTCAGTCACATGCTCAATCCTGTCAGTCACATGCTCAATCCTGTCAGTCACATGCTCAATCCTGTCAGTCACATTCTCAATCCTGTCAGTCACATTCTCAATCCTGTCAGTCACATGCTCAATCCTGTCAGTCACATGCTCAATCCTGTCAGTCACATTCTCAATCCTGTCAGTCACATTCTCAATCATGTCAGTCACATTCTCAATCATGTCAGTCACATGCTCAATCATGTCAGTCACATTCTCAATCCTGTCATTCACATGCTCAATCCTGTCAGTCACATGCTCAATCCTGTCAGTCACATTCTCAATCATGTCAGTCACATTCTCAATCCTGTCAGTCACATGCTCAATCATGTCAGTCACATTCTCAATCCTGTCAGTCACATGCTCAATCCTGTCAGTCACATGCTCAATCATGTCAGTCACATGCTCAATCATGTCAGTCACATGCTCAATCCTGTCAGTCACATTCTCAATCATGTCAGTCACATGCTCAATCCTGTCAGTCACATTCTCAATCCTGTCAGTCACATTCTCAATCCTGTCAGTCACATTCTCAGTCATGTCAGTCACATTCTCAATCATGTCAGTCACATTCTCAATCTCAGTAAAGAGGTTCCAAAATAATATTCAAGAATTTATAACCTTTCTTCTTAGCATTACATTATGTTATTTTAAGGTTATTATTTTTTTCCAACCACTTATTTTTTCTGCAGTCCTGTGTTTCGTTTTTTTTTTTTTTAACTTTCGCTTTCTTCATTTGGTCTCAAATTAATTTCATATTCTTAATTGACCATATTCCATTAAACAGAAGTTCCATCTAAATAATAATGATAATGATAACAACAACAACAACAACAACAACAACAAAATCGTCTACAGAATCTTTTAAACCTTCGACTATTTTTGTTTTAATCTTTACTTTTCCGGCTTCTGAACCAAGTAAAGGAACAGACAGAAGAAGAGGCGAATGCAGTCTGCTGCTGACGGGAATTTAGAATTGAGAAACGCCACTCACTCATTTTGTACCTGATGGATTTTTTTAGGTTTTCGACGCGGCCCGATATATCTACAGGGGATTTAGTAGTTTGTGGGACTCTGTACACATGTAGAATACTTACACACACAGGTACACACGTACACACACACACACGTACACGCGCACACACACACACACGCGCACACACACACACACACACACACACACACACACACACACACACACACACACACACACACACACACACACACACACACACACACACACACACAAAATACATATATCCCTTTCATTCAAACCAGATGGTGAAACTGAGGCAATTGATCATCGAGGAAGAATTCAAAGGAATGACTCTTTGTAAGTTTACCAAAAATATAACTCTATTTCTCTTTGTAAGATAATAATAATAAAAAAGATAATATAACTCCATTTCATTTACTACTTGTGTTACGGACTTGTATACCAAGATAGTGCACCTACACGGGTATCATTAGTAACCAATAGACCACGGGTATCATTAGTAACCAATTGACCAATTTCAGCGGACGAGGCGGTGACGTTGATGACCGCTGTGGTGAATTCAACACTCGCTCAGAAATACCCCGAGTGCCCCATGCTTTACACGAGGATCGGGGGTAAATGCTTGGCCTTCTTTTCACTTGCCAAGGTAATGGCAGTTGTATGTTTTTTTTTTTTTTTTTTTTGTCTTTTTTTTAAGGATTAAAGTTGTTTTTAAAGTACATTGGTAAACCTGTATAGGAATAAAATCCCTTCTTTTTATTTTTTTTTATTTATTTATTTATTTTTTTTTGCATGTAGACTGGTATATGTGGAAGTATTTAATAGGGTGATTTGATTTCTTTTTTTTTTCTTTCTTGCGTCATATCAGAGAACCAGTGTTTGACTAGTATCATATATACCGTAAAATATGCTTCTTTTCTTGAGGTTGCCTGGCCGGAAGCTCGACAGTTTTGCAAATCCATTTATGGCGACCTGGTCACTTTCAAAACCCTACAAGAATTTGGACATGTGATTGACCATCTAAAGGAAGCTTGTAAGTAACATGTCATGGAAGTTCTATATGCCCAGCAGTTGCCCTTTATTTCGTTATAAGTATGTAAATCAAGTAACCCATGTTTTCGGATGAAATATGACATACAGAAAATCTAATTGTTCAGCATTTTTGTCTGGGTAGTACTTATGTACTGTGTGGACTTGAATAAGACTAACTACAACACACAATGTCCAGCAAGAAAACTATCACCAAAGCTATGGATCAGTAAATCATCAAAGACATTGAAAGAAAATTATAAATATGCCATGAAACTGAGAAGTTGTGAAATTCGTTGCAGTGCTAACGACCGATTTCTGGATCGGAGGGAGGTATGACATGGATGTCAATGCTTGGGCGTGGGCCAGCGACGACACTCCCATGCCCTTGGGATCTCCCTACTGGGCTGAGAGGTACGTGACCTGGTTAGACTCACAGTGATGTACTCGTGTTAGATGCCAAACAGCAACACTCCTCTAAAGTAAAAAAGGAAAACCTTTGCAACATAAAATGGAATTTTGGGGCTTTTTCATTTTGACCTTTGTGTAACCATTACTGTGTTTTGGTTTGTGACAAATTTGGTTGGGCTTTTTAATGAAACTGCAGATTTGTCAAAATCATATTAGACCAAAGAATTATTTAGTGTTGTGTAATGGCCAGTTTTTTAACACAATTTAGACATGAAATAACATTAATAATCCTTACCATCTCGTCTTAAATCTCAACAGTTACAACAGGGTCTGTGTTCCTCGGTCGCCGCCTCACACAGACCCCTTCAGCAACCCTCCAGCTGCCCTCCCTGAAGCCCCATGTTACAACTACCTACAGGCACCCAAGCAACGCAGCCAGGGATGGTAAGGCCAACAGTATTAACTAAATGATTACCATTTGCGACTCAATTATCAGACTGAAACAATGGAAAAAAAAAGGATACTTTGCTAATGGAGTATGATTTTCACACAGGTGCAGTGCTATAACCTATGAGCACTTCTACTTCATCACAGATGATGAATGCCAAAGCTCCCATAGTCCCCTGTGTGTTCTTGCCCCTGACCCTGAGGGCGTTTAGTCATAAATGGACAACAGCTTCTCACACCACCAGATGGTCTTGTGTTAATGGTGAAGCAGATGTGATTAGCTTATATGATATACTGTGTGTGTATGTGTGAAAGGTGTGGAATTCCATTAGTATATTGAAAAACACTTTTGTAAAACTTTTTTTTTATGATACTTCTACTATCTTGAAATTGATGCCATCAGCAGTCTAATACTAGTTGTGGTGGGATTACTGAAGACCGCATGTACTTGCTAAGACTTTGTTATAATCTGAATACTATCATAAATTACTTTTGTCATAATTTTAGATGTAAGGAAAGAATGGATCCTGCAGTATTTGTCATCTTATGTCCCTTTTACAATACTATATGGAGTGTCCCACAAAAGGACAATAAATTTTGCCAAATGCAGAATTTGTTTTTTCTTCTTCTTTTTTTTTCAGATACTTATGCACTGCTGTTTTTTTCTATATCTTTTCTATAACTACAAGCAAAATGAAGAAAAGGGATGAGAGAGAGAGAGTGAAGAGAGATTATTGGTATATATATATTTAGTTAAATACTCTTCTGTTAACTTTATTATTTATCATAATGATACACTGATGTTATCACAAACATAAAAGAAAAGAAGCTTATGAGATCCTATCAAGACAGCTGTCCTTTGACTAATTCTCAGTAATACTACAAAATTCCTTTTTTTTTGTAATATCTAGTTTTGATATTATTTACTGCTGAAAAACAGATACTGTGGGGAAAAAAGCCTTGAAAGTAATCCTGAAAACTATAATGATCAATACATTATGAAAAGAAGAAAAAATATTCAGATCTGAATAATAATAATAATATCTGGAGAACAAAATCCTCAACTCCCTACGTTTGCAACCTGTGAATTACAAACAATTTCTTGTAAAAATTAACAAGTAATACATTACTTCCATAATCAGTAACATTTAGTGCATATGCTAAGAGATTTGTGTTTCTTTTTTTTATTTATTTATTTATTTTTTTTTCATTCCCCCCCTTGCAACATTACAAGTTTTCAATACAGTCTCAATGTATTTTCAGAATAGACGGTCCAAATTGCAATACTGGCCCATTTGCATATTATACCTTATACCTTGGTCCCTTATCTTTGGTTATTTCTGCACCTTATTGGTCCTTTACCAGCTGTTTTTTGAACTTCCTTTTAAACACTTTTTGAGATGGCAATAAACATTATACAGAAAAAAATAACAGGAAATAGGATAAAAAACGAAAATCAGAGGACTACCACTACATAGTACACACACTGACTATATACACAACACTGTTCACAGTTTGAATGAAACCTATATGAAAAATGAGAGAAAGTATACATATTAAGGAAAAATAACTAAGGAATATTAATTTTCTTGATAGCAATTTCAAAATAAACACTAGAAATGCCATTAAACTCCATTATAATATATATCCATTTGAGTGAGTGTGTGTGTGTGTGCATGCATGCATATATCATATGCACACATACAGGTCATGTCATGAAATACATTTTGTGCATTATCTTCCATGATAACTAACAATATGTATGAACAGTATGAGCTATGGATAAATAACTTATTGAACTTATCAGATCTATGGAATATTTATCAAATACTTGATAGGAAGTGAAACATAAAATAATAAATATATATGGCAAAAAAAAATAAACCCCTAACATCAACAAACAAAAAGCATACTAGACATCTATATATATATATCACAGGATTCATCTCTTAAGCAAATGAAAACTTTGTAAGATATCGAAGCTGCACCTGCCCTTCATCATAGACCACATACTGGCTCTGTAAGAAGCCGCTTGCCTCGAATTCTTTCTGTGGCACAGGAGGTCCAATGGGTACCACTACTCTCTTGCCGTCAAATTTCCTCATCTCGTCATTTGATGGATCTGCCAATAAAGAGATACTGATAGGTTATAATGTATTTATTATAGTGATAATTTTTTCCCCCCCTAAAATTTAATGGAAGCAAAGTCATGAAATACAGTCCTTTAATGAAGTAGAGTCATACCTTTAATACTTCAGTACTGTATGTGTAATGCTCTTAATCAAAGAATGGAATAGACATGCCAGATATCAAGTGATATTCATTTTCTATATCCTGGTAGGTCAAAAACAAACAAACATACTTCTGATGAAAATCTTTCTGAACAATATGTGTTAATATGAACATATTGATGCTCTTGTTATAGATGAGCGTCGGTTAAAGTAACAAAACATCTTATAAATGCATTTTTGGGCATTTGGTCTGAGATTACCTTTGGATGCTTATGCACGTGACTACTTTTATAACAAGATTACCTTTAATTATGTATAAGTATTTCCAATTTTTACTCATAATGTATTTCCATTCATAAGCCTTTCTATGCACACAGCTCTAACTAATGTGTGCAAAATTAAACTTATAATCAATCCGTTACATAGCATGTATTTCTAGGATGCGGAAATAGCACACAAGCTGTGAAAAATGCCAGATGTATCTTTCTGTTATCAATTTTACCAATATCAAAGACAACTGAAAACAAAAAACATATCAATATACTCCAACAAAAAACATAGTTCAGAAAACAATATTTGGGTGCTAATACTGGACAAGCTGGAAAGGTCAAGCCGTGTTAGGGTATTATTAGTCATATTGATATGACTGTTGAATTCAGCTAAAGAGCGAGTATTTACGAGATACACACATACAGAACAGATCGTGAAACATACCTGGTTCTAATCTTCCCTTGGCAGCTATAGAATTGAAGCCATCTGGAGGTCTGGTCAGCGAACTGTTACCCATTTTGATGTACCTCATTCTGCCGAGTGCAGTCTCCACAAGGAACATGAAACCAACATTCCGTTCATCTTCGTACTTTCCCCAGTGAACACCCACTGAAATGAAAACAAAAAACATAGTTCGAACAATATGTGTTAATATGAAAATATGATGCTCTTGTATAGGATGAGATGAGCGTCGGTTAAAGTAACAAAACATCTTATAAATGCATTTTTGGGCATTTGGTCTGAGATTACCTTTGGATGCTTATGCACGTGACTACTTTTATAACAAGATTACCTTTAATTATGTATAAGTATTTCCAATTTTTACTCATTATGTATTTCCATTCATAAGCCTTTCTATGCACACAGCTCTAACTAATGTGTGCAAAATTAAACTTATAATCAATCCGTTACATAGCATGTATTTCTAGGATGCGGAAATAGCACACAAGCTGTGAAAAATGCCAGATGTATCTTTCTGTTATCAATTTTACCAATATCAAAGACAACTGAAAACAAAAAACATAGTTCAGAAAAGAATAGTTGGGTGCTAATACTGGACAAGCTGGAAAGGTCAAGCCGTGTTAGGGTATCATTAGTCATATTGATATGACTGTTGAATTCAGCTAAAGAGCGAGTATTTACGAGATACACACATACAGAACAGATCGTGAAACATACCTGGTTCTAATCTTCCCTTGGCAGCTATAGAATTGAAGCCATCTGGAGGTCTGGTCAGCGAACTGTTACCCATTTTGATGTACCTCATTCTGCCGAGTGCAGTCTCCACAAGGAACATGAAACCAACATTCCGTTCATCTTCGTACTTTCCCCAGTGAACACCCACTGAAATGAAAACAAAAAACATAGTTCGAACAATATGTGTTAATATGAACATATTGCTGCTCTTGTTAAGATGAGCGTCGGTTAAAGTAACAAAACATCTTATAAATGCATTTTTGGGCATTTGGTCTGAGATTACCTTTGGATGCTTATGCACGTGACTACTTTTATAACAAGATTACCTTTAATTATGTATAAGTATTTCCAATTTTTACTCATTATGTATTTCCATTCATAAGCCTTTCTATGCACACAGCTCTAACTAATGTGTGCAAAATTAAACTTATAATCAATCCGTTACATAGCATGTATTTCTAGGATGCGGAAATAGCACACAAGCTGTGAAAAATGCCAGATGTATCTTTCGGTTATCAATTTTACCAATATCAAAGACAACTGAAAACAAAAAACATAGTTCGAACAATATGTGTTAATATGAACATATTGATGCTCTTGTTATAGATGAGCGTCGGTTAAAGTAACAAAACATCTTATAAATGCATTTTTGGGCATTTGGTCTGAGATTACCTTTGGATGCTTATGCACGTGACTACTTTTATAACAAGATTACCTTTAATTATGTATAAGTATTTTCCAATTTTTACTCATATGTATTTCCATTCATAAGCCTTTCTATGCACACAGCTCTAACTAATGTGTGCAAAATTAAACTTATAATCAATCCGTTACATAGCATGTATTTCTAGGATGCGGAAATAGCACACAAGCTGTGAAAAATGCCAGATGTATCTTTCGGTTATCAATTTTACCAATATCAAAGACAACTGAAAACAAAAAACATATCAATATACTCCAACAAAAAACATAGTTCAGAAAACAATATTTGGGTGCTAATACTGGACAAGCTGGAAAGGTCAAGCCGTGTTAGGGTATTATTAGTCATATTGATATGACTGTTGAATTCAGCTAAAGAGCGAGTATTTACGAGATACACACATACAGAACAGATCGTGAAACATACCTGGTTCTAATCTTCCCTTGGCAGCTATAGAATTGAAGC